TATAGGGAAGACATTAATAATGAAAATAGTAAAATCACTATAGTATAGATGTAGTGTATCAATATACAATTACATGTACATGTGCCTGCAGGATTATTAATTAACTGACACTTCAATGCATGAGAATAGATCACAGTCCATCATTCTAGAGTCTGCTTCATCAATAGAACCTATTAATAAATAATAATAATAATAATAATAATAATAATAATAATAATAATAATAATAATAATACAACAATAAATAATTACCGCCTTTCCCCACTAATCAATAAGAATGCATAGAATGATAAAATACACGTGCATGAATAAAATGGCGGAAGGTTACAATTCTGTATATAAAGGCCATGCATTTGTATCTAACAAGCTGATCTCCATAAATTAATCATGCTCTCTCTCATTACCTTTAAACAATTGTATATTCAATGGTCTACTGCGTCTATGTAGATAATCAGTGATGAGTGGTTGGAGTGAGTTCTGATTTGATTGAAGTAAAGACTCATTTATATCAATACCGATAAGTGATTCAATGTGTTTGTGGAACTTTAATGATTTCAGAAGCTTGCATTCAGCACAGCCCATGTCTATTACCTGTTGGCATTGAAAATGTGAAGATTCTTAATTTTTTATAAGTAAAAAATTCTGCTTTAAGTTCATAGTAGATTGCTATTATTTACTTTCTTTGGTTCTATTTTTCTAGATAGTTCCAGTACGGCTCCATAACGTTGCTGGTATACAGGTGGCCTGAATAAAACAGCAGCAGCAGTAGAGGTATCCTCCAGATCATCCATCATTCATGGTAGGTCCAGGACATGTCCAGGATATATCCGTATTCTACATACACGTGAAAGCACGTGTGAAACTGGTGAGTGGCATCCGACATTGATTATAATAAGGGTGACTATTAACAGAAAGTTAAAAGGTTTTTAAGAGGGAATCATGGACATGTAAGTTTCTAGGCAGAAAATTAGTCAGCCCTTCCATGTGCTAACAACAGAAATATCCTTGATAGTCTTGCCTATGATGACTCTCTAGGCTGGAAGATGGTCAACCTGTAGGAAATTAGCTTAGTAACTTCCTTATAAGGTATGTTGTAAGATTTTATGTAAACATACTTTTATAAGAAAATTTTAATGTCAGTTTTCCTTTCCTTGTATACATACCTATAACCTTATTTAGTAAATATCGGTTGTTACTATTAATTGACTGGAGATTTGATACTATTAATAGATTATTCTCAGCAGAATTATAATAGATTGTTCCATAACGCCGTAATCAGTCTCTACGCTGGTCAACTGTAAACACCACTGGCACTGGCCCATCACTGAAGACAACATAAGAACAGCGTCATATGAGGTGCAATGGCTACAGCATCAGATTCATCATCACCAGAATATGCTACACTAAAAGAAATGTTTGGTGCTCTTGTTGATAATTTAGTTGCCAATGCTCCTGTTATTGCTCCACTAAACAATCACCTGCTTTCATCTGGCCTCATTCCTGAAGCAGCATTCAATACAGTTCAGTATCTTGGTCCCGGATCTACTCCTTATGACAGGTGTAATAGTATGCTTACTCCAGTACTAGCAAAAGTTGAAAGCAACCCTGCCTGCTTTAATTCTTTAATTAAATCACTAGAAAAAGTAAAGCTAGATGATATTGTTGTGAAACTAAAGGACAAGTTAAAAAGTACAAAGTGCTTTTTACGATTTAATGTAAAAGTTTTTATTTTAATAGGTAGAAAAAGAGCATGTGAAGGTCAAAAAGAAAAGGAGCGCAATGATACACAAACTGATTCAGGTATATGAAAAAGCCTTGCATGTATGAAAAGTTTGAAATTCCACCTATTATTTTATAGAATCGACCAGCACTGATGAAGAAGTAGATCCACTGCCCTTTCCATTAGTATCTATACCCCCAGATCTTTCTTATACTACAATTGGAAAGATGACAGAAGACTTAGAATTTCTCAGCATTGACGTAGCAGCTACAATTTTGCTTGATCAGGAATTAAGTAGTCTATTTGCACCAAGCTCATCACGACCACATTTGCAACAATTTTGTGAACAAGTTTTTAACTATGTAAAATATCATCGAAGAAGTTATCCTTCTGAAGTTGATGAAGAACCAGAATCTGAAGAAAGTGAAGAAAAGCCTCATGATTTGTCTCCAGATGACATTAGTCGTGTTTTTGAAGTTGGAATTTTTTTTCTTGCAATACTAGCATTATTTGAAGCTAAGACTGAAATATTAAAGGTGGCAGTTAGTTCCGAAAAGCAGCATAAAGCGAACTTGCTACATCACGCTTCAAAGCATGGATGGGTTAGTGTAATTGATGCACTAATCAAACAGCATGGCTTTGATCCTGCATCAACTGATGCAATTAACCAAACAGCTGTTCATTATGCTGCTAAACATGCTGAATATGAAGCATTCAAAATTCTAGTTACAAATCACAATTGTGATCCCATGTGCAGAAATTCAAAAGGTGAAACCCCACTACTGTTTGCAATTGAATCTGGCTCCATTGAAATTGTTAAATATTACAAAACATTGCCACTTGGCTGTGATGGTAATACTCCTTATAATGGTAAGTC